CACTGTAGCGGTATTCATGGTGACGGGGAGGTGGCCTGTAGGTAGTAGTGATGGAGCAGATAACACAGAGAAAATGGATGAGAATTTACAAGCAGCAGGCTGAGTGGAAAAAAACAGACCAGGTAGATGCAGAATGAGGTCTATAAGGCAAAGATCTCTACATAAATTAGAAGCGTGTGCACAAAGCAGCAGGTTATGTAAGAACAGGGACAAACAAGAGGCCCCGAGCTACACGGGAAGGAGCGATGCCCATGGCAGGGAGCCGAGGGCGCTGGCTCTGCTCCGGCCAATGGTCCTTTGTGCCACAGACAGAGGAGTGTGGTCAATGCACCCCCACACCAAGGTCCAGGGAAAAGACTGGAAAAAAAATGTCTTCGGAGATGGGTGGGGCTCAAATCCCAGCCCCATCATTTAGGAGCCATGGCCTGCCCCCTGCCCCCTCACAGCCCGAAAGGCCTTCTTCCTCTGAAAGGGGCCGCGCCCACCTGGCAGGGGCAAGAGCGTGGGTGCAGAGGCCTGCACGGGTACCCGGCCCCCAGGAGTGCCAGGCGAGGGTCAGTTTCCTGTCGCCTGAGCCCTAATCACGGCTTGCGGGTGTCTTTCAGCTCCCAGGCAGCGTCTCCGGCTGGTGCCTTGCCTGGAGGCTGAGGGTCAGCAGGAATCCACAGAACTGGTCCCTCACCCCCAAATCCTAGCAGGGACTCGCCTGGGATGTGGCATCCAGAGGCTCAGAAAATGGCCGTCTGTCTGTCCACATCCCCTCCACCCCCTCAGCCCCAGCCCTACCCCTGCGGGCGGTGTGTGCAGCCCTTGGCCCTTCTAATCCCTCTTAACACCCACTGCGCCAGGAGAGCTGGGGCTCCTGGCAACCCTGATCCCCGGCCGCCCCCAGTGTGCCCGCGGAGGCCTGTGTTGTCCAAAGTTGGATTTAGGGAAACACGAGCTGGGCCCAGGGCGTATGGCAGGACCTGGCCCCAATCCTCCACCCCCGCTCCCAGCCCCCTCACCTCCCTTCGGTAAGGAAGCCAGGGTCATCTTCTTCCTGGCCTCCCCGGGTCGCCTCCAGTCCGTACGGCCCTCGTGCCACTTGGACAGAAGTTCCCCCTTGTCCACAGAAACAGCCGGGCGGGGGGCACACAAGCTGGATGCCAGCCCCTGCCCCCTCCCTGCCCGGGTGCCCTTGCAGTGAGCAACCGGCACGGCAGCCCTGCTCCTTAGCTTGGCCTGCTCTGGACGGACGCACTCAAAGGTCATGGGAAGCCCCGCCCCTTCCCCCTGCCCCCTACCTAGTTCCATCCCTATCGAAGCCTTTTTCCATCTTAATACTGTCCCCTCTCCTTCACAGCCACCATCCCCCAGGCTGGGCAATTCTCCTGACATTGTCTTCTGACAATTCACCGTAGGGCTGGGGGTCCAGGGAAGGGTAGGGACCAGCTCAAGGCCACACAGCAGTCGAGAGGCCAGAGGAAGTAGCTGAGGGGGGCAGGAGGGGGAGACTGGCTGGGATGCTGCAGTAGAGGCAGGCGGGGGAGGGGGCAGGAGGACCAGCCTGGCTTTTCCCGGATTTACTGTTCTCAGCAGCCCTGCACCAGGGACAGCAGGGCGGAGGGCAGGGCTGGTGCAGGACGGGCACACCTTCGGGGACAGCCCCTCCCAGCAGCGCCGAGGGTCCCGCGGCTCTTTGCTGGGCACCCACCAGACACCTTGCTCCCAGCTCAGTTAATCCCCACAGACACTCAGGCAGGCAGGAAAGGGCACCCCCTGGTGTAGGGACAGTGGGGTGTGCCTGGGACACGGAGTAGATGCAGAGTCTGCATTCAGACCCACGTCTCTCTGGCTCCAAAGCCCTAAGAGTGAGCAGGGATGGGCTCAAGCTGGGTCTTGGTTCCTGGAAGACTGGACATGGTTAACTTTACGTTTCATCCAATCCAGGAGTCCCATCCAAGCCTGGGCTCCCAGGTCTCCCCAGGGAGGCTACTCTAGGCTCCAGACTCAACTTTGTGGCCCTCACCTTGGAGGAGACCAGACCACGGTCCAGTCCCGCCCCTTCTCCCAGCCTCCCAGCACCCCCCTCGAATAGCACAGTGTGAAGACGGTGGGGTAACGGGTGTAACAGAGGTAACATCCTACAGAACACCACGCCCTTCACCCATCAGAGGAGGAGCAGGGCTCACACAAACCTGGAGGTGCCCCTTCACGTGTCAGGGGTTCAAATCCCACCTCCACCTCCAGCCGGTGACCTTGGGCAAGTAAGTCCCTTCCCCTGTCGGAGCCTCGGCTTCCCGCTGGTCTGCAAAATGGGGGTCGATTACCCTCCGCCTCCCAAGGCACCCACAAAACAGGATCCAATCTGTGTGCCCCCCTCTGGCGCTGAGCTGCCGCAGCTTGGAGAGGGGCACCTTCGAGAAAAGCCTGCGTGGGTCCCCGAGCCTGCTCAGCTCCCGGCAATCCTGGTGGTGGAGGCAGGAGGGGGCCGGGAGATGGCACCCCCGCCTCGGAGAGCAGCCCGCTAGCTCTGCGGAGCTGGGGGCCCCCAGGTTCTCAGCAGAGCCCCCTTTTCACGGTTTAATTGAATATTTGAATAATCCTTTCATTCCAGCGAGGCATAAAGAATGTTGTCCCAATAGCGGTGACTCAGGCAGGCGCCCCCTCGCACAATGGCCCCTCGAGTGGGGCTGCTATTCAGGCTGCCTTTTGTTGGCGCGGAGCAGTGGGTAAATTGCAAACGCTTAAGGGAATGCTGCTGCCGCCGCCTCAATGGAAGTCAGGAAATCGAATGTTAGGTCAATCCATTAAGCTTCGATTAAGTCCTCTGGGGAACAAAGCCCGCCGGGCCATCTTCATAAACACCGTGATTGCCAGGAGAGAGGCACTAATTCTAATTAAACCTCCTTACCTGCCTCCTCGCCTGCCTGAGACGGCTATTTAGACACCAAATGGCACCCTTCTGCGGAGGCAGGCGAGAAGGGGGTGCTGAGTGGGCGGGAGGGCGGTGGGGTGGTGGTGGGGGGGGCAGGCATCACCCGGGTCCAGGCTGCGCAGCCCAGGAAGGGGGATGCCCACATGCCAGCTGGCGGTCTGGGCACCCAGCTCTGCTGGTCATGGAGGAGCCCCCTCTCGCTTCCCAGACTCCGGGCAAATCTTCCCCCTCCTCTTGCCCAGATTTCTCCACGTGGCCCTCCCGCCCGCGGGGCGCGGCCCCTTCCCAGGCTGCGTGGGAAGCACCTTGCTAACTGCAGGCTTGGTCCTGTGACGCCAGCTGACGGTCCTTCCCGAGGGAAGGGTCAAGGCACCGGGCCCGGCATTCAAGGCCTTGCACACGGCTCACGCGGCCGCCTCTCTCCTGCCCTCCATGAGCTCCCGCAGGCCCAGGTCCCGGGGCCGCCTCCTCCCGTAGCCCCAACCTCGCTAGGGTTTCCGGCCTGCCGCCCGGTGCTCTCCCCCAGCCACCTCAGCCCCAAAGGCCAGGCCCTGTGACAGACACACGGCGTGTGGTGAAGATGGAAGACCGGACCTCGCCTCATTCATCCACCTCCCATCCATTAACATGGTTCAATTTGCCTCCATTAACTTTACCTAATGATGGGTCATGATGAAAGGCAAAGAACTGGGCGCACATTCCGAGGGAAGTTCTCCTCATTCAATCCCTCGTAGCAAGTTAAGGATTAGGATGGGGCAAGAGAGGCTCAGAGAGGCGAGTGACTCACACAGCCCGAGAGAGTCCAGATTTAGAACCCAGGTGGTCCGTACGTAGTCCCCATTGCTAATCACCACCCCATCCTGCCTGGCATGAGTGCACACATAGTGCGCGTGCACACACACACACACACACACACACGCCCACCCCACCCCTCCAGCCCACCCCTCCAGCCTGGTCCCACAAGCGCTGTGGACTCGCGGGCTCTCAGGCCTCAGCTGCCTCCTCCGGAAAACAGGATGAAGGTTAGCATGAAGGGGCGGGCACTCCGGGCTCTGAGCCTGGCCCCGGGAAGAGGGCTGGCCTCTGGGCTGATCTCCTGCTGGAGACTAGAGCTCTGCTGGACCCGGCAGCCCCAGCGCCTGGGCTTTGGTGGGAAGGGGGCCGGGGCCACAGGGCGTGGGCCTCAGGCCCCGGCAGCCTGAAAGCCAAGACATGGTCCCTGTCCTGCAGGGCGTGTCCACGGACAGATGGAGGGACCAGGGTGGGTGGCCGACAGCACCCCCTCCACCCAACCCTCCCCAGGACCTTCCTGGTGGCCTCCTGATGGTGGTCAGGTCGCCTCACACACCACCCAGACGGCCACAGAGCCCACATGCCCATGCTACGGCCCCCAGCACCCAAGCACCACCCATCAGTCCAAAGCCCTCCCCTCCCTCCCCGTCACTCCCCAGTCACACTCAGTCTCCACAATGTGACCCACAAGAACACAAGCCTGCAGAAGCCCACAGTCTGCACTTGTATGAAAACGAAGACACAAGCACAAAGGCGCGCACACACACCAAGCTCCTTGGAGTCTCCACATCCCCAACCACAGCCGTCCGTGCCTCGGGCCTGAGCCAGTTCCCGAGCCCGGCAGCT